AAGGAGCGGCAGAAATAACATGTGAGGCACTGACCACAGCGCCCATTCTCCATCCCCCTGCTCTGCTCAGGGGGAGGAGGCAGAGAAAATCAGGAGTAAGGTTAAGCCTGGGAAGAAAGGAGAGGTGAGGGAGAGGGAAGGTGTTTTTAGGACTTGGTTTTATTTCTCATTATCCTACTCTGATTTGATTGGTAATAAATTAAACTCATTTCCCCAAGTTGAGTCTGTTTTGCCCATGACAGTAACTGCTGAGTGATCTCCCTGTCCCTATCTCGACCCACAAGCCTTTTGTTATATTTTCTCTCCCCTGTCCAGTTGAGGAGCAGAGTGACAGAGTGGCTTTGGTGGGCACCTGGCGGCCAGCCAGCGTTAACCCACTACAAGCACATACCACCATGGTCTCCCAGGAGCACGAAGAGTCAAACAGAAACAGGACAGAGAAGGGTTAATGAGGGATGAAGGGAACAGACACATCAAATTAGAAGAAGAGATTAAAGTTAGGGAATGGTTAGCTTCGCAAAGCCAAGAGGTTATAGAACCATGCTTTATAATTTCAACAGGGAAATTATCTCCAAGAAGAGCAAAGAGCTATTTCAGCTCAAGGCAGTAACAGCAGAAGTAAAAATGGATTTAACTTTGCCAATAAACAGAGGCTGGAAAATAACAAAAAGCTTGCAGCTATCAGATGAGTGCTGCCCTGAACCAGCCTCTTATGAGGAATAAAGACAGGCAAGTGGGACACCAAACTGGTTTAAATATGGAGCCAGACAGTTTATGAAGGCATCTGCAAGCCAAGGCTATGCTCTGCCCCGATGTGGCCGCTCTTCAGGGCTCAGCAAAGGGTCTCTGCTGCACCAGGTGTAATTCTGTGCATGCATGAGCTCCTCCAGCTGACATCAACATTGCTTCTCGCCTTATTTCGGAGGGATGCGAATGCGTACCGCAGCACTCCCGCAGAGGATATCCAAGAGATGCTGTGCGCCTTCTGGCTCCACAGCCACACCAACAGCCTCTCCACAGTAGTGGGTCCACGGGAGCCTGGCCCACTGCCCGGCTCTGTGCCACCTCCTGGTCAGCATCTGGCCAAGCAGAGGGCTTCAGTCCTCGTCTGGACAGAAGGGAGCTCACTGAGGCACTTCCATGGTAGAAGAAGGGGGCTTCCAACTTTCACAAGAGACAATCCACTCTCAGATGAGGGCATGGAAATCAGTACTGTGCTTCTTACCCACTACAACCCACATCCTCATCCCCTCCCCATCACTGCAGGGCACTTTGCCGTGGCAGAAGTACCTTCTGCTAGCATGAGTAACGCCGTGCAGTTACCATCTCAGGAGGGGCCTTCCCCAGTCAGACAGACCACGGTCCCAAGCCATTGCCTAAGGGCTTCCTCCTCCGCAAAGGCTGCCCTCCAGCCGTGCCACAGCCCCTCTCTCACCTTCCTGATGTGATCCAGGAACTCGGGGGCAGACAGGCACTCCTGAGGGCTGGCAAACTGCTTGCAGTTGTACTGGAAAAGGGGCAACAGGTCAGGGTCCAAGTCAAACAACCTGCAACAGCACGAGAGAAATCCCCATCTTCTCACTTTCTCAGCTTTATTGAGAGTCCTGTTCACCCCAGGAACAACCCCATCAGCAGCATAACCGTCATCATGCCGCCCCTCCAGCCTCCCCTCCCACCTACTGATCCCTCCGCACTCGTAAAGGACCCAGAAGTTCTGAAAAGTCTTGGTTTGAGGCAATCCAGGTTACCTATAGTCAAAAAAGTCTCTATTTCCCTAGCCCACAGCCCCAGCTCTCAGATACTTGTTTATGGCACCTGAGGACCAGTCCCAGCTCGCTGGAGTTCCTCCCAGCCTGGCCCTTCTCCCCAAAGTCTTGGTTGTTGTCTTGACTCTTCCCATTCCCACTTTGTGATCCCCTTGAGCCTCAAACCTCCCAAATCTGGGGAAGGCCTGCAAGCCCCAGTAGCTGACTTTCCTACTTGAGCAAGAGAGGGCACATAAAAACCCAGCTAATGCCTCACTCAGCCACATCATCACTAGCTCCCATTTTTTATCCCCTCATCCTCCCTGACAGCGTATGCCAGGCACATAGGGGTCTCACTAGCAGCCACCCAGGCAGCTCTAATAGGCTGATGCTGTCCATGGAGCCTACAGGGAATTCAGGGAAGGCAGTCTCTCTTCTCCCCATCCTGCACACTGAACTACTGCATCCCTCTCCCCTCCACTAGAACTCCCGAATGTTGCTGTTGCTGCTCGAAACCCTGCTCTGCAAGGTCTGGCTCCCTCCTGCTACACCCTGCTCTGGAAGCTGGTCATCAACTCTCTGACCATCCTTTTTAAACGACATTTCATAGATTTTTCCTTTTTCTCTTCCCGTAATCAAGACATTAATCTGCTTAGGAACGGCAAGGAGTTGGGTTTCAGCCGTTCCCGCCCCCCACCCCCCCGCACATCATTTCCTCTGCCTTGAAACTGAATCCTGCCCCAGCAGCCAGGTCTTTGCCCGGGGCTGCAGAGTGCCGTGTCAGGGACAATTAGGAGGTCCCTTCGTTACACTCCCCAGAGTTGGGCGGACAGGCAGCTCTTCCAACAGCAGAA